AGGAACGCTCGACCTCGACACGTGATATCGGAATGGGCGAAATCGCCTCTTGATATCACTAACTCTCCTGACTCCTGACTCCTGAAATGTTCGAGAGGGATGCGACTGTTGTGAGAATAAATTATTAACTTTGGTTATTGAAATGGCAATGAAAACATGCGTTCGTTGTCAGACCTCCTTGTTCTGTGTTGCTGTTTTGACATCCATTTCTTCCTCGCGTTCTTGCCCTTGCTGATTAACTCAGAATTTATGAAGAGAATCTAGATGAACAGCCGCGTTCATACAAATATTCGGGATACTCGATGGTCGACTTGGAACTTCGATTGGATCATCTCGGCGAAAGATGAGAATCGACCCCAAAAGGTTATTTTGGGATCCCTCTCTCAGTCCACTTTAGGAATTTCATTTTCCGCGCGCCTTTATACTGCATCACTTTGGTCTTTCCCAACCCAGGTTCCTTCGAAACGATGAAACGAACGTTCCTATCCGTCGGCTCCAAAATCATCTGATGCTCTTGAAGGCGGCGACTGCACATACGATCGGCATCTGCGATGGCTGTGAACCTGACAGCGCCACGATCTAGAGATGCAATCGTTCGAGCGCAAGAGAATGGATGTGCTAAGTGCAAGTAGATATGGCAAGAAAAAATTAAGCGATGTGCAATTTTTCACAAAGGAGAAATTGACTTGAAAAAGGAGATCTTATCGGTCAGCCGAGGTCATACCAGTGACGTCATTGGCTCTCTCTCCAAACCCCCCGCTGGGATGTAGCCTAACCTTTTACTCTTCTAACCTGGACCGCCTTTGACGTGGAATCTCTCGTTACATGTTTCGAGAGTTGAGAACGAGGACGGTTTCTCGCCGTGTAACTTTTCAGTATCATTTTGAGCGTTATTTGTTTATTTTATTTTACTCTTTCTTACGTCGTCGTCACAATGAGTATTGCAAGTTTTTTGCACGTGCATATCGCCCCGTTCCGAAATGGTTCGACCCCCGAAGCTGTAACTTTAAGCGGGGAGCATGTTCCAGCGCGAAACTTTTTTATTTGCGCAAATGTTCAGGTTGGCTGGTGTCTTCGTTCTTGGAGGAGCAAGAACGCCCGGTGGAACCGAGAAGACTTCTCCGATGCCCGGTTTTTAGCGTTCACGCAAGGCACTGTTACTTTCTTTTTGCACAGATCATCCAGTATGGTTCCCGACAGGACAAGTATGGAAGTGTTGGGGACCCCACGACATCACCACCTCGACCACCACCACCACCACCACCACCACCACCACCACCTCACCCACCACCACCACCACCACCTCACCCACAACAACAGGTAAGACTGCAGACTTCCATGCTTCGTAAACGGCAGGTGTTTCCCCAAGAAACTTGCAGCGTGATTCCTCCGAGGATTTTCTGCTTTAATTCGATTCCATAACGCACGACAGAAAATTCCCCCTCTGCGATCCCACCATCAAAGAAAGACTAACAGGACTCTCGTCTCCGACAGGACTCTCGGACGACTGCTTCGCCGAGTGCCGACTCGGAGATGGTGAGTCCGCCCTCCTCTCTCGTTTCGCCGCGTCGCCGACGCCCACCGACCCACCGACGTCTTTCTCTGTTGCTAGTCTACAGCTACCCGCACTCGAGTAACTGCAGCTGGTACCACGTGTGCCACGACACCATCGTCGTGGACATGTTCTGCTCGGCGAACTTGTGGTTCGACCCCGTGACGTGCAGTTGCCGCTACCCGACTGAATTCGGCGAACTGGGTGAGAACGGCTGTCCCCCGAGGGGCTGCTGCCAGGAATAGCCGAGTGAGCACGATTTCCGACCGAGGGTGGATCTCCCTCGAAAAAAAGAGTACGGTAAATGACGAAAAATGCTCACCGTGCTTCCATGCTCTTCTTATTCTTAGTTTGGGTAGTAAAAGAGCCATCAGACTGAAGAAATTGTTTCCGATTCATTCAATGATTGATTCAACGATCGTGGCGTGTGATTCATCAGCTTCGATTCATCATCGTCGATACAAATCATGTCTGAATGACGAACGAAGCCTTCTCCTTCTAAGGCTTCCGCACACGCAAATAAAAATAACGAGTACAGGAACAGTCGTTCCTATGGATGCGAACGACTGTTTCTTTGGAACGAGGGGTGAAGTATGCTAATTTTTTGTTGCTTTTTGGCCGCTGTACATTCCGTTTTACCAGATCCAGAAAATTGTGGGTGTACTCGGAATTCCGGTTTCACAAAAAGCAGGCGGTCACCGTCCATATCCAGAGTTGAAGACTTTCGGCGAAATTTCAGCTGGTGCAAGTCGGTTGAAATGGGAAGAATACTGCATCGACCAGGAGAGATTGGAAGCCTCTTCACAGCAAACAATTCTCGAGCTTCGATCCGAGCAGCTATCAGCCGTGAAGGCCTTCATAACTTCGTAACGGGAGGAGCAATTCCTCGTCGGACTAGAAGCTGTTGGGTCCGATTTATTAAATTATATACGATAATACCAAACGATAACACATGGCCGTACCTAGCCAGATCGGTGAATAAGTTCTCGGAGAACGAAGGTATCACTGGAATGGGACCGGCCTGCAAGCTTATCAGGCTTCAAACATGCCTGGGATGCCCTTCGACATGTTAAGAGCCTAAACCGGGAAACAGAAACCCCTGGAGATCTTGCCACTAACATCATGGAGGAAAGGGCTAGAAACTACAGGAACATCTCTTCTCATTTTTTTCTGCCGTGCAGGTCGCATCCGACTTCGGATTTGTAGTTTTCTATACCTGTAATAAGTTTGAATATTACCATTTGCAAAGAAATGGGAAACCCCAAAGGTAAAACCGAAAACGCAGCAAGAGCCAGAGGACAAAGGAAATAGCCAACAACAATCGGCAAGAAGGATAGGACGAGCAATAACTATTGAATATTTGCAGGAAGATCAAGAAGCGGCAATTAACGCCACAAAGTCTGGTCGGATGGGCTGGCGTGGGACTCCAGAACGCAGGGACTGCCACGAACGACCATAAATGATGATAGAGGAGGGTTGGCAAATTATGTTTCAACGTTGGAAATCAAGAGTATGATTATTTCATGGTCTTGATATAAAATAATATCACCAGGTAATTTACGGCATACGTTAGAGGTCCTTCCCCTTTTAAACATGACTCCAGGCCCCCACTTTCAATTGCCCCAAAAAAAACGAGCGAAAAGACAAAAGATGCCCTTCACTTGTGGGGAATCTCGGAGACTGCCTTTTTCGCTTCGTCCGGTTGAGATGCTTTTTTTTGTACTTTATACCCGAACTCCTGGTAAATCTGAACCTGGGAAGAACTATAATATATAATTGCCAAAGTTAGGGGCCTGAAAGCGAATAACTTCGCCCTTGAAGGGCGAGGGGGCATGGAAGAAGTTGCGGAATCAGCCGAATCGGGAAGGATCATCACGACAAAATCTGGAACTTCAAAGGAGAGAAATCCTTCCGTGCTTCGAGTCATCCGATTCGTCCTTTCCTCAAGTTTCATCGAAGGTATGATACAACACTGTCCAGTGCAACAAATACAGGGTGTCCCAGAAAATCCCCCCCCCCCAAGTTTTGTACACCATTATGTCATTTTTTCTCTGGTGGAAATGAGTCTTGTATCATTCGAAAGCCTAGACCTTTCTTGGCAACTGCTGTTAAA